CAATTCAAAATGATTATCAAGCACCACTACCACATATATTTTTATCACTAAAAAAAAAAAACAGTAGCAAGTTGATAGATAACATTTTATTCTTATACGTTTACGCCCATCTATGGCCAGACTCTTAGCAAGAACAATGAGCAAAGAAATAGTTCATCAATGCCCTGAAGTGTCTTCCTACTCCTCTAATGAGAAAAAGACTTTTGAAAACTTAAGAAGTACCACAGTTTAGTTTGGAACATGTTTTTGTTCTTTTTTTTTTCTAATATCCTTTTGTAATTTTTAAGACTCATTTTGGGTTTGTCTGGTTTTAATACAGCCTAAAAGTAAAATTGCTATTAGAGTAAAACTGGATAAAGAGAACCAGAAGGACAGAGAAGGTACAGAGTGAGGAAAGGGTAAGGAGAACAAAGGAAGGGGGAAATACAAGGAGAAAATGTCTATACAAAGAATATGAAGCCAGGTGTTGTGGTCCACGCCTGTCATCCCAGAACTTTGGGAGGCTGGGCAGTAGGATTGCTTGAACTCAGCTTGGAAAACATAAGGAGACTCTGTCTCCTCAAAAAAAGAATTTTTTTTTAAATTGGCCAGGTATGGTGGTACACATCTGTAGTGTCAGCTACTTGGGATGCTGAGGTAGGAGGATTGCTTGAGCCCAGGAAGTTGAGGCTACAGTGAGCTGTGATTGCACCACTGCACTCCAGCATGGACAATAGAGGAAAACCCTGTCTTTTTTTTTTTTTTAGTTCGACCATTGTGGAAGACAGTGTGGTGATACCTCAAGGACCTAGAAATAGAAATTCCATTTGACCCAGCAATCCCATTACTGAGTATATATCCAAAGGATTATAAATTGTTCTGTTATAAGGACACATGCACATGTATATTCATAGCGGCACTGTTTGCAATCGCAAAGACCTGGAACCAACCCAAATGCCCATCGATGATAGACTGGAAAGGGAAAATGTGGCACATATACACCATGGAATACTATGCAGCCATCAAAAACGATGAGTTCGTGTCCTTTGTAGGGACATGGATGAACCAGGAAACCATCATTCACAGCAAACTGACACAAGAACAGAAAATCAAACACAGCATGTTCTCACTGATAGGTGGGTGTTGAACAATGAGAACACATGGACACAGGTAGGGGAGCATCACACACAGGGGTCTGTTGTGAGGGAGTAGGGGAGGGATGTCGGGGGTAGGGAGTTGGGGAGGGATAACATGGGGAAAAATGCCAGATATAGGTGATGGGGATGGAGGGAAAAAAAAAGAGAGAGAGAGAGAGAGAGAAAGCAAGAAAAAAAATGAGAAGACTACCTAAGCTGTGTTCTAGAGAACTGACAGGCAGACTACAGCCAGTCCTGATCCACTTGCCTAGGCACACTGGCCCTACCTAACATTAGGTACTCAAACCATCAGTGCCTAGTGGCTACCATTTACTCAAAATTCTAAAACACTATGCAGCTGAACTTTCTGCACTGATGGAAATACTTTATTCTGTACTGCCCAGTCTGGTAATCATCAGTCACATGTGACTGCTCATCACTCAACAGTTATTGACTAGCATAACTGAACTAAATTTTAATTTCATTTCACTTAAATCAATCTAGGTTTAAATAGCCACATGTGGCTGGTGGCGACTGGATTAGTCAGCACAGGTCTAGCATGCAGGAATCCGATGACTTTCATGGGCTTGTTTTGAAATTTCACCAAGCTATTCATTTCATTTACATTTCATAGATTTTATATGTATTAATTCACCAAGATTTCACAGCAGAGACAGTTCTTGTTGCCTGTCCATTTCTCGCATTTCACTGTTATAATTATCTGACTCGTTTTAGGTTGACTGTTTCTCTGCTGGACCAGAAGCTCCATAAGAAGAGCACTGGTGGGCCTGTCTTGTTATCCTCTCCAGCCCAGCTTGGAATGGGGCCAGACACACTTGCTGACCCATCAGACACCTGAGAAGCAAGTCAAAAAGGAAGCTTCTCTCCTGGAAGGATCATGCATACAAAGATGTACCCAAAAACCTAAGTCTCATTTTTAAAACAATTTTGCAGTGACGCAGATCAACAATATTCTTAGTAACTAGTCCAATTTCTCTCCACTATAGCTTTTACCCTACAAAAGTCAATAATATATCTCTCCGCAGGGTTTACATAGTCGATATTACTTTTTTACCAAAGAAGTTATTCCATGATTTTCTTAAAATAAATCACTTCAAAACAGTTAGACATTCCTTTTATATTTCCCTAAAAAACACATATATCTCATTTGTACCACTCATCCACTAATCAATAAATTGAACACAGGATGCCTAGATACAAATTGGTTAGAAATTGTCTATACTACCTTTCTGACTGCTTTGCTTACAAAGCAAAGGATATATATGTAAAAGTATATATATCCATAAACAAAGCATGTACAGTATATATATCTATATACAGTGTATAGAGATCTATATATACAATGAAGCATGTACAGTAAATATATCTATATCTATATTGCATATATATCTATACACAGTATGTACATCTATACACATATCTACATGTGGGTACACACATACACACAATTGAGTTTCTAATTATTAAGTCATATATATATATATTTTATTGCGCTTTAGGTTTTGGGGTACATGTGAAGAACATGTAGAATTGTTGCATAGGTACATACATGGCAATGTCGTTTGCTGCCTTCCTCCCCATCACCTATATCTGGCATTTCTCCCCATGTTATACCTCCCCAACTCCACACCCCCTGCTGTCCCTCCCCTAGTTCCCCCCCACAGACCTCAGTCTACCAGACCACAGTGCAATCAAGTTAGAACTCAGAATTCAGAAACTAACTCAGAACCACACAACTTCATGGAAACTGAACAACTGGCTCTTGAATGTTGACTGGATAAACAATGAAATGAAGGCAGATATAAAGATGTTCTTTGAAACTAACGAAAATGAAGACACAACACACCAGAATCTCTGGGGCACATTTAAAGCAGTGTCTAAAGGAAAATATACAGCAATAAATGCCCACATGAGAAGCAAGGAAAGATCTAAAATCGACACCCTATCGCCAATTATTAAGTCTTTTATCGTATGTTCTATCTACCTACCTAATTCTATGCCGTCTCCACCCCAATATTTTTTTTTTTTTTTTTTGAGACGGAGTTTCACTCATGTTACCCAGGCTGGAGTGCAATGGCGCGATCTCGGCTCACCGCAACCTCCGCCTCCTGGGTTCGGGCAAGTCTCCTGCCTCAGCCTCCTGAGTAGCTGGGATTACAGGCACGCACCACCATGCCCAGCTAATTTTTTGTATTTTTGGTAGAGACGGGGTTTCACCATGTTGGCCAGGATGGTCTCGATCTCTTGACCTCGTGATCCACCCGCCTCGGCCTCCCAAAGTGCTGGGATTACACCAATATTTTTTTAAGAGATGAAATCTCACTCTATTGCCCAGGCTGGAGGGCAGTGGTGTGATCAAGTCTCTCTGCAGCCTTGACCTCCAGGGCTCAAGCAATCCTCTCACCTCAGCCTCCAGAGTAGCTGGGACTACAGACATCTACCACTATGCCTGGCTAATTTTCTAATTTTTATTTTTGTAAACATTGGAGGGGGGGCAGTCTTGCTATATTGCTCAGGCTGGTCTTGAACTCCTGAACTCAATCAATCCTCCTGCCTTGGCCTCCCAAAGTGCCAGGACTACAGGTATGAGCCACAGCACCTGGCCAATCTAATTCTACTCTTAAAGTCATGTAATTATGGCAGTCAAAAAGTATAGGATTAGAATTCTGTCTCTTCTACTTTCTAGATACACAGTTTTGGGTAAATTACTTAAACCCTCGGGGCCTCAGTTTCCCTACCTGAAAGCAACACCCAATTTCATGAGGTCTGTTGAGAAGATTAGATAGAATACTGGCAATGAAAACAACTAGAAGGATGCCTGGTACAAAGCAGGTGTTCTGTGTTTGCTAAATGAATAACTGATTTCACCTGTTTCTTGGAATGTCATTTAGAGGCTTACAAATCCCCTGAGAATGAATAAGAGTTCATTATATTCTAACTTAAAGTGAGCAGAGTCTGAAGATTAAAAGGCAGATTTAAAGGCAAGTCAATAACTGGTGATTGAACAAACAAAAGGAGAAAAATCAGTGTCTTAACAAAATGAGAGAACTCACTCAAAAAAAGACATTTCAGATGCCTGAAACAGATCAATTGATCTCTTCCAAAAGGTCTCTGCTCTTTGGAAATGGTTCAACTCAGGCTATCACTGTGGAATCATAATCATTTATATTTTCCATAACTGTGGCTAACCCATGGTCTATTTATCTTTAGGGCATTACAATTTACAAGACCACTCACTATTCAGCCTCTGTAACACTCCATACTCACACTGCTATGAATAAATACCCAAGACTTGTTATTTAGTTGACTTACAGTTCCACAGAGCTGAGAAGGCCTCAGGAAACTTACAATCATGGTAGAAGGGGAAGCAAACACATCCTTCTTCACACGGCCACAGCAAGGAGTAATGCCGAGCAAAGGAGGGAAAGCCCCTTATAAGACCATCAGATCTCACAAGCACTCACTATCAGGAGAACAGCATGGGGGAAACCGCCCCCATGATTCAATCATCTCCACCTGGTCCCACCCTTGACATGTGGGAATTACTACAACTCAAGGTGAGATTTGGGTGAGGAAATAGCCAAACCATATCGGCCTCCAAACTTCACACTTGGTAAATTTTATTTCTGGCACTTTTGTCTATTCTAAAGCTTCTTCAACACTCGAGATGGTATATGTAAATGGAACTGAGATAAATGACAGCTTCACCAGTTTGTATAAAAAATCTAAAGGTATGTTGCAATGAAGTGCTCCTTGAAAAAGTTTACCTCTATTTTGTTGCTAGACTCCATGGTAGGGAAATACCTAAGGAGTCAAGATCCTCATAAATAATGTCAATAGGAAGATGATGGCAGTCATCCATACCTCAGCTTCCTGCAGGGTCCCGTGGTTTAGGCACACCATGTCAGGGCAAGTGATGGGAGACCCACATCCCTCTCGGATTGCCAGCTGCATGTACTGTTTCAGGCACTGGAAGTTAAGGAAAAAAAAAAAAACAACAGATAATTATGCATCCCATTACAGTAGCACAAAGGTTACATAGCAGAACAGTAACCGCCTCTTCTTCCTTAATTGGCTGTCCTAAGGCTCTTATACTCAAGAAACATAAGTTGTCACAAGTGTGAATACTAAGAGCCATCACTTTGGAACGAATGCAGAGACACACAATTAATTATGTATGATTTCATCTTAAGAGTTCATTTAAGTCAGACTTGCCTGTGCTCACATATTTCAGCCACCATAGATTAAGAGAAGAAAAAACACTATTTTCTAATGCTAAAGGCCTCCTCCTGCTTTAAAAAATAAAAACAAAAACCCTATATGAATTCCTAATTCCATTTTTACTTAGTGGTTCTCTCCATCAAAGTTTGCCCAAAAGTAGAACAGAACGCTGGAACCCTTGCACTGAGCTAGCCATACAATCAAAGTAAGCTTAAGACAGTGACATTTCCAGGACCACTTTTTCTTTTTTTTCTTGAGACAGAGTCTTGGTCTGTCGCACAGGCTGGAGTGTAGTGGCACAATCTCGGCTCACTACAACCTCCACCTCCTGGGTTCAAAGCAATTCCCCTGCATCAGCCTGCCAAGTAGCTGGGACTACAGGCACCCACCACCATGCCTGGCTAAGTTATTTTTTTTGTATTTTTAGTAGAGACAGGGTTTCACCATATTGGCCAGGCTGGTCTTGAACTCCTGACCTGTGATCTGCCCATCTCAGCCTCCCAAAGTGCTGGCATTACAGGCATGATCCACGGCACCTGGCCAGGATCACTCTTAAAAACAAATGCACCTGGAAAATATAATGTCAAATTTGGCAAAGTCAGGTGACTTCCTGCTGACTGGGATATCAAAGATAATTTTCTTCCCAAAGACAATGAGACACACTGTCCCAAAGACATTATCCCAAAGACAATGAGACCTTCCCAAAAATATGGGTCTTTGTGGGTGCCATGTTAAAGAAGTTTGAATAGGAAAAAAAGGCACTGGTCACCCGGGAAAAGAAGAAATTGAATAAAAAGAAACGTAGGGAAGAAATTGAACAAAAAAAAAGAAACCCAGAGAAGAAATTGAATAGAAAAATGAAACCCAGAGAAGTAATTGAATATAAAAAAGAAACCCAGAGAAGAAATTGAATTTAAAAAAAGAAGCCAGAGAAGAAATTAAGTAAAAAAAAGAAGCCCAGAGAAAAAAATGAATAAAAAAAAGAAGCCCAGAGAAGAAACTGAATTAAAAAAAAAAAAAACCCAGAGAAGAAAAGAAAAAAGAAATCCAGACAGAAGAGGAAGAACATCAGGAACAAAGCTGATCTTCTCATTGCCTGCTGTGTCTGGATATTGGACAGTGGGTGGAGATGGGAGTCTTACTGAGAAATCAGGAGAGGGACTGACAGCTTTATGGAAACCTCTAAACCTCTAACACCTCCCCCTATTCCTCTCTACCCATCCACACACACCCACAAGAAATTGAAGGCAGAAGGTCCAGGAAATAAACCTCTAAGAAATCCAAAATTGGTTCTTCAGCTTCTACTAATTTGCTCATAATTGGTAAACCTCTTCTACATGCATGACCAAAAAAGTCAAGCTCAAATGTTTGATGAGTACATTTTACCAAAAATACATAAGCCAGCTGATGAAGCAATGACTCTTACAAAGTGGTGATTATTTACAACTGGGTTTAGAGTTTTAAAATTTATACATTTACGTATCAACGTGCTGCACTGAAAAAAATTCTGCTGCACCAACCTTTTATAAAAGTATAAACCAAAAGTAAAATTCTAGGGTCAGAATGCTGGCGATGTAATTGTGAAACCTATTCCTGTTATTGACCATCTTTACTCATTTCTCCATCTGAAAATAAAACTAACATCACTATTATATTACTTCAGAAAAATAATCATGTACTTACCTGATTATAAATGACTGTTACAATGTATTGATGAATCAATGACTAGGGCAAACCATTTAAACCAGATTTGTATCTCTTCAAATAGACAACAGTTTTCTTCTCCAAAGAGTTAATTTTTTCTACAACATTCATCACAGCAAAAACTAGAAAATAACCTAAATACTAAAAATATAACCTTCAAATAAACGTTGCTAAATTTATGTGATAGACCGTGCAGAATCATGAAAAACGTCTTCAAATGATATTTAAAAGACATGAACAAATGCTCATGATTTAGTATAAACTGAGGAATAGAAGGTATCTTATCTGGGAACAGGGATCCTCCATAGTCACTCCTCCCTTACACTTGACCACCATATAGATACTGTGTTTTAACCTTGACTTTCTTCAACAGAAGGGTGAAAAAAATCACTTGCTCTAGGATTCACTGTGCCAAACATGGTATCCAGCAGCAGCAATGGGACATAGAAGAGAGCAGCAGCAAGGAAATATGGGGAAGAATGTTAATGGCCAGGCGATCCCCCAGGGGAACAGTCGAGGCGGCTCACCAAAAGGAGTGTCACGCCAGGGACAAATGAATAAACAACGTGAAAGCCCGTCCATCCTGTTCTGCTTCTGAGGACATCTCAGCCTTCCAACAGGCACACCTGTTCCGTTGTTACTCCCTTGATCTTACCTCTGACCCCCAGCAGCCACTTAAAGAAAGTTAAATAAAAGATGGAAAGGTATGGTCTCCAGGCTCAAGGGGAAGGTGTTTGAGGAAAACAAAGTCAACAGTGAAAAGAACTTCAGATCCTAATGCCTGGGTGAAGGACCCACTTTACTAGGTGACAATGGCAAAATGACTTAGCCTATGACCCAGACTTGCCTCCTTTGATTTAAAAAGCAGGGACAATAATATCTGTTACAGTTACCTCACAGGGTTTAACACACACACACACACACACACACACACACACACACACACACACACACACAATTTATATATGGAAGCCCTTCACGAATTTGCAAATTACATAATAATAGGTTATGTTATTACTCTTCTTCTCCTGGTCTTAGACTTTCCATCAAAGACTTTGGGGGAAAATGTTAATCCTTTGGCCTTCTGAGACAGCGTTTCTCCACTCCCTGCAACAGACCAGTGAAACCACTTAAGGTGGAGAAGCTGTGTAGACTGAACAGATACTTGTAACAGAATATTCCAGGTGCCTCTATGCAAGGCTCTTCTTAGAAATATTTGGATCTACAGAATAAGCTTAGCATTAAATTGGAACTAAAGATACTATGTGAGTCTTTACAGGCAAACGTGTTCATTTCAAATATAACTACAAATGTGTTAAGTTGAAATACACACCTTCCCAAGAACTTAAAATGGATGTGCCTCTTACTAATAATGTAATGTTCCTAGGTGCACTATGAACTACCATCTATCAACTTAATGAATTTTAAAACTTCCTGTAAGCATTCTCCTGGCCACAATATTATGTAACCCATGATTTTCAGTGAGAAATTAGAGCTCTGTACACTGACTCCAGGGTTTAAGCACATATACCCTTTGTTTTTAATGCTAAGAAACACTGGTTCAAGATAGAGATTTGCAAGGGCAGGTTGCTAAGTAATCCTACAGCACAGGCACTTGAAACTCCATCAGTGTGGGCATGCATTTCTATTCAAAGGCAAAGAGGGAAGACCACCAGCCCCAGTTATTGCTTCTTACTGAATTTTCAAGTACCCAGGCTTGTTATATGCCGTGCATTAACTTTCACTAAAATATTTAATCTCAGAGTGTCCCTCTCTTCTTCCATATCTCTGGCTAAAAAGCATAAAATAACTGGAAACATTCACATGAATCACATGTGCCTGTCATACAAAACATAGGTAAATGGTTAACAATTGTAGGGAAAAAAACTAGCATCTAGCTTTAAAGAGAGAAACAGAAAATAAAAACAGATTATAGCAATGCAAGAATGGCAAAATAAAATACATACTAAAAATAAAACTACCATCATTTAGTCACATTTTGAAAATTACATTTACTAAGTAGCATTCAATAGATATTTAAATATGCAATTTTCTTAACAGGTAACAAATTGCAAGGAAAACGTTTCAAGAAGAACATCTCAAAAACCCAGATGACCCAAGGGGGAAAAAAAAAAACAAAAAAACAAAACCTTTTTCTTTGGAATAGTCAACATTTTACTTAGTTTGGTAAAACAAAGAATTATTTTTAGGCCATGAAGGGTCATGCAAAATAACAAGGATTGTTCATCAAACTCACTTTACAACTTAAAGATTCATATGAGATCTAACCAAAAATTTAACCATCAAACACCTGGTGAACCAGATGACTCATACTGTCTCTTCCAACTCTGAGAGTCTATAATTTGTATGCAATGGAATCCTCTCAGAAACAGGTTTCTCCTAGACCCCTTTCAAGGGTATTAGTTTCCAATGTACCAAACTCATGGGCATTCTTCATATAAGGTGTTCTCATCTATTATGATGGACACAGAAAAAGGGTCACAGTGTTAAGGCAAAGCTACTACGTACCCAACCAAGAACAAATCACAGGAGTGGGCAGGAAATACATGCATATTTTTTTAAAACTTACTATATAGTTCCTCATTCTCTATCACTAGATTGTACTCTTCTAAAAGGTTTTTTTTTTTTTCTAAGAAAAAATAAATCATTATAACGAATAGCCAATGGAACTGGATTCCAACCATCCAGGTTGAAGTACAAACTCCAAAGTCTCCTCTGCATATTGAGTAAGTCATTAACCTCTCTAGCTACGGTGCTGTCATTTATAAAATGGGACAATATCACCTGACTAGGCTGCTCTCAGGGAAATGGAGAGTCCCCCATTCACTCTGAAGAGTGAAAAGAGGTATGCATCATCTCACATTGAGGCCAATATTCTGTTTATTCCACTTCAGACTATGATCTCTATACATGATCCAAGAATAAAGCTGCCTTTGTTAGATGCTGTTGAGTTAAAGTATAATTGGAGAATGGAATAGATGTTTCTGAATAGGCAGGCATGTAGAAATGAAAATCCACAGGCT